ATTGTATACAGGAGAAGGGGTTACTAGCCCATTGCTCCCGGCATTTTAGTCGCCTCATACGACACGCATGGCTTACGGGGGAAAGATTCTTTTCCACTTCCCCATGGACAAAAGAAGAAATAAAAAAGAACAAGAGCTATTTAGAAAAAGGAGAAAAACCTAGATGTATGTATATATATATATGCATGTGCGTGTCTGTGAAGTGTGACCAAAGTGTTAGTAGGAGTAGCAAGATATCCCTGTTATCTTAGCGTGTTTATGAGACAGAAAAAGAAACCAGCAATCCTACCATCATGCAAAACAATTACAGGTTTTTGTTTCACAGTCATCTGGCCTCCTATCTGTCATCATGAAAATGAACCAACAAATATTCACTTTACCCAGTCACTTACTCCTAGTCCAATGATCATAGAAGGCACAGTTATTCCAATATTTGCCACAATGACCATAGTTGGCATAATTGTTTCATTGTCTGTCACCTCACTGGGTATACCACTTACAAATTCATTGAGAGTAAAATGATGTTAATTTTTTTTTTTGTATTAAAATGTGAAACATAATTAGCTATGAAAGAAAGTTTGAGAGTGAGACCTTAATGTGTATATGAAAGTAATTGACCTATTTTTTAGGTCCTATGTGTGTGTGGATGTAATAGCTTATATAATGTAACAATTTAGATGAATGTTTTCCAAAGGTATTATCAGAGCATATATTGGAAACATTACATAGTGGCCATTGGTAGTTTGAGAGTCCTAGAATCGTTCATAGTCTTCGTTTGGAATGGAGCTCTTATAGGTTGATGATGAAAATGTTTGGTTTTCTCACGCCTTCCTGGTTGCATGGGTATTGCTGGCATTTAATAAAATCTCTCAAGGTTTAAAATTTGTTGGCAATTTTAAGATTTTTTTTTTTTTTACACAGTGCATATATGACAGAGGTACTATACCTTTTCTTGTGCATATTTGCATCATACTGAAATAAACTTAAAATTTATGATGTGTTTCTTACAGTATATATATTACCTATGAATGGTTAACACATCTTGCTAGTTTTCTGAAGCCTCTCAAGTTTTGTACTGTATATCTAAGAGTAACTGTTGTAAGGTGTGGCATACTTCAGACCATTTAGTACTGAAAGGTATAATTAGTAGTAATCACTAAAAGAACATACTACTTCAGCTCTCTATATAAGATAATATAGCTTAATGATTATACCTTAATTTCTCTGTATATAACACATGTAACAATAATATAAACCTGTAAGTGAAATCCTCTTTTCTGTGTATCACTAAGTATTTTTACAGTTTATAATAATTTGAGCCTGTGTGTGATACAGTATGTGTCAAAGTAAACAAATTCTACTTTATAAAGGTTATATGTAAATAAACCTGCAGTATTTTTTGACATTTTAGATGAGTTAAGGTTTGATTGCATGTAAAGAAATAATAAACATTCATGCTATTAAAATTACTGTTCAGAAAGTGTAAAACGGTATTTAAATAGCCAGTGATCTTTTAATTACCATAGAGCTAATGTATGATCTCTGGAATAATATATACAATGATAAGATTACAGGTAAGCCTGTGAGTTGTGAAGTTTGCTACCTCTGCTCTCGGACTCCCATTCTTCAAGGTTCGGACTATGATAAATTGCCTTGTTTCAGGTCTCAGAGCTTGAAGGTACTAGACTCTTAGAACCATAAACTGTCTGCTTGGCAACCTGTAAATTTATTCAATACAGAACTCATTAGTTACATTAACTGACTGTTCTTATTGGTGTAAATTGCCTGATGGTCTTTTGCATTATATGACTTCTGCATTGTCAGTTATCAGTCTGTTTTGACCAATGGGTGAAGGCTTTCACGAGAGTATGTCAGTTGATAAGACAGTGAGAGATCAATATAGTAGGCTGTGAAGTTCTCATGGTGGTGTGGATCATGTGTGATGCCAGTTCTTGAAGAGTCCAACAGGCACATCTTAGCACCCCTTGGCTATGCACTCCGCATCTCGGCAGCTTATGCTACATCAAGATCTTTTTTTATGCTAGTTTTATAAAATGTCTTGCAGTATTCTTTTTTAGCTAGGCTGTTTTCATGTACTGCTCGTTTGTGACTGAAAGCAATATTTCCCTGTGTAATTTTGTTTCCTAAATCATGGAAATTAATCCTTTAAAATCACAGCACCTCTTTAAATGATAATTTACTCATTGTTTTAATTATTGCACAGATTTTTTTTTCTTCTTTGAACAAAGGGATGAGACTCTACCCTATCTAGGCTAAGTAAATTAACACACATTGTCCTTTCAAAGGTACATAATATAACATGTATCTAAGAATGCAACAAAGTGACTAGTGTGTTTTATAGATATATCACAGAATTTAGATTGATATTGCCAGTTTGCCTCCCTGCATGGTCACCAAAATAGCTCTCTGCCTACATAACTTGGTCTTTGTAAACAGCCTCAGAAAACTGATCTGAATTTCTCTGCCTGTGCTTCACTGCTGCTGACTATTCTTGTCTGATTTTTCTTTCCTAATTATTTTCTCTCTCATTACTTTTGCCTTTTAAATACCTCTGAGACCATTATGGCTGCTCTGTCTAATACTGTACTCCAAGAACTTAAACTATCTATTGTTTTCTCTGTAATCCTTATCTCTGCTAACTTTAATAACTTATCTGTCCCTCTTCTGTCTTTAAACATCATACTTAGTTAACTTATTAATAGTCTTAACTTTTTGGCTGAAATTTTAATTATAATAATCCTCTTCAACTTGAATGCATTTCCATTTCATTAATAAGTAACACCAGTTATTATTTAGGCTGGAGATGCCTCCAGTTTCATACTCTTAAGTTCACTAGATGAAGAGACAAGTATTTGTGTTCTTGAGAAAGTTCATGTTGGTCAAAGTATTCCATACATTCTAAATGTTGCAGTGAGGTACATAGTTGAGCTCACATCATTACCTTTTCTATCGTTGCCTGTTTTTGTACTTAGTTTAATATTCTCATACTTCCCACATAACATAAACTATTCAGAAATATACCTATTACACTATATTGTGTATGTTTGCTGTTATATTCCTTTCTCATTTAAAGTGGTGGGAAATAAGTAAAATGCCTATCACAGAGTAGAAGTGTGTGTACTAGATAAAAAGCTCACCCAATTTTATCTTTAAATAACTAAAATGAAGTACGATAAATAAATTTATGTTTTAATGCCCTACGTATACTATATAGATTTTTCCATGATGGTTAACATATTTTACTCATTTAAAAAATATTTGTTTTTATTGTATATGACCTTTTATAATTCCCATCCATTTAAAAATTTTTACATATTATTTATTCAATTATAGACTCCTATTTTACGTGTGTCTCTTCTGTTTGCACTTGATGATGAAATGCCATAAAACATTCTCCATGAAAGAATGCTATCTCGGTACACCTTCACATACTGTTCTTATCCTTCAAAGCACCTTTCCTTTACATTTTTTAAAATTTGTCTTACTTCCTGGCATATCACTGTCATTCTATATACACTCGTATTTTTGGAACTTATGACTACCTTGCTTAATATCTATATATGAAACTTGTAGCATCTGTGAATTCTCCATTTTTAGGCAATCCATGTGAAGAATCTTCCACAGACAATGCCCAAATTGTTTTACTATTTCTGTTGTTCTTTTAGTAAGCATCACAGCCATATTCTGGTATCTTGAAACCATACAAGATTAATGCTTTATATGGATATTTCATTTCTTTTTGGGCTTTCAGGGTTACTTCATCACTAATTTTATGCAGTGTCCTGTTTAAACTGCCTTTCCTAAGTTCATCCAATATCTTTAGTTCCTTTTTATTCAAACTAACATTAAATTCTTGCTGTGCAGGAATCTGAATCAGTTACACTTGAATTATTTGATAAGTTATTTAATACAGCCACCATCCTCTGACACACTGATCATCCCATTAGCACTTGTATCAAACATGTTGCATTATCAGTACTGAACATTATTAAATATAGTTCTGAGTCTCACATTGTGTCAAAGAACTCATTTAAACACTATGTAACACTTTTCACTGTGATTTTTTTTTTTTTTTGCTTCTTGCAATAAATTTTATAGGTCTTTTACATATTGTGAGAAAAACCTTTCTCAGGTTTACCATTTTTCATATTCTGTAGTAGTAGAAGATCTTACCAGCATGTAAATGATCAGGTACTAACATGATCTATTGCAAGACATTTTCTATAACCTGCTTAGAGGCAAAATGTAATGTGAACAGATCTTGCTCTAAATCATCTCTCTTCATTGCATATAAAATATTTTTTTATTGATTATGTAATCAGGCAAAATTAACCATATGATACCAGAGTGCTTTCGTGTTTTTCGCACTTGGATACTTCCATTTTGTTATTTTCCGCTGGCATTTTTTCACATATAACCTTGCCAGCAAAGCCTTACTTAAAACACTACCTACAGATCACCAAACTATGTGACATTTGCTGCAACACTTAGTGTGTAAAAAAACAAAAAGGAAAGTAGGCCTACCTGAAGGATTTAATTACATTTCTCATTTAAACACATGATGGATCAGTAAATGTTTTATATTAATATGATCATTTTTTTTCTTGTCATTAAACATATTTTTCATCTCTCTCTTTCTGTCTCTCCATCTCTCTCCCTCTTCCTCTCCACCCCCCTCTTGCTCTCTCTCGCTTGCTCTTGCTCGCTCTAGCTCTTGCTTTCTCTCGCTTGCTCTAGTTCAGCCTCTCTAGCTCTTGCTCTCTCTCACTCTCCCTCTTGCTCTTTCTAGTTCTGCCTCTCTCACTCTCTTGTTTTCTCATATCTTATATTTCATCTCTTTATCTCATCTCTTTTCATCTCTCTCATTCTTTCATTTCTCTCTCTCTCTGTCTCTTGGTCTCTCACTTTGTTGTTCTTTTGCTCTCGCTCTCTCTCTTGATCCCAGCCCTGCTTGTCACCCTGGCCCTTTATCTCCCCAGCACGCCTGGACCTACACAAACGGCATCGACATGAATATGGTGTTGAAGGGCTTCCCAGATTGCCTGCAGGCAGACATCTGTCTCCACCTCAACCGACACCTTGTCGAGTCTTGTCCCGCTTTTGAAGGTGCCAGTCCGGGATGCTTACGGTAGGTGTTTGGTACACAACCATACTGAAATACACCTTTTCCCCTTTCAATATTAATCTGAAAGCACGCATGGTCGTACACGAACGGCATAGACATGAGTGCGGTGATGAATATGTTTCCCGAGTGCCTTCAGGCCGATATAAGCCTACACCTCAACCGTAATCTGTTCGATGCCTGTTCATCCTTCGAGGGAGCCAGACCAGGATGCTTAAGGTAAGTGTATCTGTCAGCTCGCATACTTGTTGAAATATTGATATCCTGCTAAGTCAGTGACAGCTCATAGTCTGATAATTTACTACTACCATATATTTAGTATAATACTCAAGAAAGTTTTACTAATATTTTTTTCATAATGTTCAGTAATTAGTATTCAAAATATTTTTTTTGTCTGCATCAGTGACCACCATCTGTGACTCAGCTGACTTTTCCCACAACCCCAGAAGCTTTCATAGTACATCTACTCTCATACCCCTCGAAGCCCTATAGTCCATATATTTTTACCTTTATTCACAACAGGTCACATGAGATATTTAGAGTGTCTATACCCTACCTAATTAAAAATTTTGACAACACTGCTGTATGGCATAAACCTAGAACTTCTATATAGTATATGGTAATGCAATGATTTGTTTATAGAATACATTGCTACAATTGCTCTACATATTTTATAAAGTTCTGTACAATCAAACACCACTAATCAGTAAAAAAGATGAACTGAAATCACCTCCTATATAGAAGAATGTCCAGCTATTTATATTTCAAAATCTCATTCTTAAAATTAAAATTTGGCCTTTCGACAACACCCCTCCCTTCCCCACAAAAAGTGGGAAAACTGAAAAGAGTGGACTTAATTCTATTTATATGTCTTCTCAGAAAAGTTAATCAGCATATATTATTCAAGCTGATGCATCATGTAAACATGATATGTATATAAAACCAATGAAAATATCTGCAATGTAATTACAGGCATTGAGCACCAGTGTTGCATGGAACCTGGGGAGGTACTGGGTAGCTCTGTAGTCTTATCTAACTGTTACTGTATGAATTAAAAATAATCAACTTTCATTCATATGTGGAACTTTTTTAAAACCCCACCCGTCTCTTACCGAGGCAAGGTGACTCAACAAAGAAGAAAACACTTTCACCATCATTCACACATAATCACTGTCCTTGCAGAGGCACTCAGGTACACCAATTCAGATGTCACTCCAAACAGCCAATATCCCAAACTCCTTTAAAGTGCGGGCATTGTACTTTCCACCTCCAGGCCTTAAGTATGGCTAACCAGTTTCCCCGAATCCCTTCAGAAAATATTACCCTGCTGACATTCCAGCAGCTTGTTAAGTCCCAAAAAAAACATTTGTCTTCATTTACTCCTATCTAACATGCTCACAAATACATGCTGTATGTCCAAGCCCCTTGCACACAAAACCTCTTTACCCCCTCCCTCCATCCTATCCTAGGATGACCCCTACCCCTCCTCCCCTCCACTACAAATTTTTTATATGTAGTAATTTATACAGCAGAAGTGGTTGCTAGTCCCTTGCTCACTGCATCATATTATTATTTTTTTTTTTTCAACAAGTCGGCCATCTCCCACCGAGGCAGGGTGACCCAAAAAAGAAAGAAAATCCCCAAAAAGAAAATACTTTCATCATCATTCAACACTTTCACCACACTCACACATTATCACTGTTTTTGCAGAGGTGCTCAGAATACAACAGTTTAGAAGCATATACATATAAAGATACACAACATATCCCTTCAAACTGCCAATATCCCAATTTTATTTTACTTATATTTTACTTATAGTAATAATTTATTATTAATATTATTATTATTATTATTATTTTTATTAATGCTCACAAAATCTTAGCAACACAATTGCAAACAAATCAGAGAATGGGTAGGACTCAAACCAAGGGCATGTGAGTCCTAAAACTCACAGGCTAGTGTGTTTAAGCCTCACCAGTACTGTGATTTGTTAGCAGTCATGTTAATATGATTTAATGAGTTATGATAGTGGCTTTGTGGGGACTTTAGTTAGAACACACCACAGCCATGCTGGTGTGAGATTCACTTGTAAAAATCTGCATTTGTAGTCATGCTAACCTCCCTGTGGTGTACAGAAATATACCTATTTAAATGAATCCTTTTAGGCTCATTATTATTATTTTTTTTTTTGTAATAATAGCAGTAGTAATGTACCGTACAGTAATATCTTGTATAACAAGGTTTTGAATTGTATTATTATAATTTGTAGTAGTAGTAATATACTGTACAGTAATACTTTGTATAACAAGATTTTGAACTTCAGAAATTATAAACTGTGCTGTAGCACAGTTTATAATTTAAAATTTTTTTAATAGTAGTGTTGTAGTGAACTGAATTACTCACTGCAATAAAGATATCAGTATTATTTCAGCTTTAGTGCATTACACTGTAGCAGTGTTTTGCATAACACTGAACTTTATTGGCACCTATTAACCATGCTATGCAAGGTATTTCTGTATTATGCTTTAACTCAGTAACTGTGACTAATATGCTAATATGCAGGTGATGGGAATGTGTCCAGTGTACTAATATGCACAACTTTTTGTGCCTTCAAATATGCCACTTTCCAGTAATTTGGACCTCAGCACAACTCTTTGGGTCTTCTACACTCTCTTCATGCCTTGGAAAAAATATAAGACGAGACAGGTCCTTGCAGTGCATCATGGGTAACACTGCCTGTCTAAAATGAGTAAACAGTGAAGCCAGGACCTGTTGTTCATCCACCAGCTTCCCTACCAGCAAATAGGGTGTGGAACTGACAGAAAGATATAATCAAACAGTATGATTTATTTCTATGTTTTGAGGAGTATTACACATGAAAACAATTGTAATATTATAAATATTCCTTGTACATAGTGTTAAAAGACCAAAACAGTAAAAAAAGTGAGAAAATTATTTACACCAATTTATACTGCATATTCCAAGTAGAACAATGTCAGGCTATGTACTTTTCTATGTTTGAAATACTAAAACACATGAAACACACCTAATATCTTTAGAAACTAGTTTATGTAGTGTTAAACATTAAAGACAATAAAAACCTGAAAAAAAATAATCATGAAACATGGAAGTAGTATGGAGGTGGAGCAGCACACAACACCAGATGTGGTCAGTGTGGAATACTTGGCCACATACTACAAACATATCCAAGAGCACAGACACACAGTGAAATGACACACTACTGTTTCATAGATTCTGTCGTGGAAGAAATATGTTGCTGTAAAGGGACAACCCATATGGACAGAAAAAGAACTATGTAAACTGGACTTGGTTATACACGATCTGGTAGGAAAAAATACCTTCATATTGGAGGTAAAGGTGGAAAGTGATTCTAACATCATGAACACTACCCAGCAGTTTAAATGAAAGGCAGAATTCTACAATACAGGACAGGTAAAACAATGGGCTGCAGGTTGGGCAACATAAACAGCAATACTAGGAAATGACAATGATGCTGTGTTGCAGTCATCAGATGCCCAGCCTATTGCTCCAGATAAAGTTAACCTAGAAAGAAAAAAAGGTCTAGTACCATGACTGGGACAATACACAAATCAAAGTCAAAGTCAAAGTTTGTTTCTACATAATATAATGTTTATACAGAAATGGGCAAATCCGGCAATCAGACATCTGGTTCCATCAGTTATTTGACATTAATTTCGGTTGGCACTACTTACGGCATAAGTCATTCCAATTTCTTTTTCTCCACTTATTGTTATAACCTGCTTACTTTTAGCCTTAACCATAGTTCCAACGAATAAAACAAATGCTTCTCATTGTGTAAAGCACCTACACAGTACATTGTCCATTAAAGTTAAGGTGGCTTTGAAGCCGCTGTTGGTTGCCATGAGCTCAGTCTCGTGATGCGTGAGAATATGCTTTATTATTATGCTAATATCAACACTATGGCTTATTTGCCTATCACAATTGATCTACTGTGACATAATAAACAATATAAATAACATGAAAACATGTTAAATGCTCCAGAATAAATAATATTTGGCATAATACCGAGCAGTTTGATGGAGGTATGAAGAGGATACGGGATGCAAGCACCATTCTCCTATCCCTGTCTTGGGGCTTATATTAAAGAAAATGGAGTATAGCACAGGGCTGTGATATACACTCGTACTGCACCATAAAACTGAAACAAAAAGCTATTTTCTCTACATAGATTATCATACACAGCAGCATATGTGTAGAGAACCTAGGATAACCCAAAAAAGTCAGACAAAGTGGCTTATTTCTAGTACCTAGCTTGGGCTAGCCATATGTGATATTTGGTAAATATTCGATTCCCAGCCAGGGTAGAAACATTGGGCGTGTTTCTTTATGCCTGTTGTCTATGTTCACCCATCAGTAAATGGGTAACTGGGTGTTAGTGGACTGGTGTGGGTCTTATCCTGGGACACTGACCTAATTTGCCTGAAATGCTTAGCATAACAAGGGGCTTTCTATAGAGTAGTATGTCAATGATGTCAGCTAGGCCTGTATACCATGTACACGTATGTGTATGATGAGCAAGGAGGTTTTAGAGTGGGTAGGGGATGTGTAGATCAGGTGTTTACATTGAAGCATATATGTGAACAGTATTTAGATAAAGATAGGGAAGTTTTTATTGCATTTATGGATTTAGAAAAGGCATATGATAGAGTGGATAGAGGAGCAATGTGGCAGATGTTGCAAGTATATGGAATAGGTGGTAAGTTATTAAATGCTGTAAAGAGTTTTTATGAGGATAGTGAGGCTCAGGTTAGGGTGTGTAGAAGAGAGGGAGACTACTTCCCGGTAAAAGTAGGTCTTAGACAGGGATGTGTAATGTCACCATGGTTGTTTAATATATTTTATAGATGGGGTTGTAAAGGAAGTAAATGCTAGGGTGTTTGGGAGAGGGGTGGGATTAAATTATGGGGAATCAAATTCAAAATGGGAATTGACACAGTTACTTT